CACCCCTACCCCCCACACATCCCTCTCCAGGAAAATAAGGTCACTCTATAGCATTCTCTCTGAACTTTCTGAAGCAGTTTCCTCCCTACTACCTCACTGTGTCAATAGAGCAGGTCACTGTGAAGGAATTTTAGACATAGCCCTGGGGATGGTATGAAAGAACTGTTAAGGAGGGATTTGATTAAGCAGTTATACAGTCCTGATATTGAAGCAAGCATGCAAAAGAAACTCAAAATAACCCCACCTTGATTTTGCTTAGTATAAGATGGGACAGGGAGAAACTTGGACAGGCTTTCAGGATGACTGTCAGTTCTTCAAATTAGACCACATCAAGAAAGAGACACTGCAGGGATTTCAGAAATGCTACTTTACTGTTGTAGTGTACAGTAACAGAATCTTGAAAGTCTATCTAAGTTTCTCCCTGTCTCAACTTATCATGTTAAGATATAAACACCAACACAATTGTTGGTGTTGTAACAACAAAATGGAATAAAGAAAAAAATGTACAGTACAACTACTGTTGTATCCCACCATCAAGAACTTGTTGGAAAAAATGCACTTATCCACTCCAATTTTCCTGATTTCAGCCAGGGTGGAGAATTTGAAGTGACACTTCTTTCATAGATGCAGCATGTACCAGCCTAATGGGCTCTTCAGAACTAGCACTTCCATGAGAACATGGAATCCAACTGGCTGTTGCACAATGATAATTACTGATCCCAAATAACAAGGTAAATTAGTATTCCAGAGAGCTTGTTTATTGCTTTGATTTATGCAGCCCTAAATAGATATAGCACTAACAAACTGATTAACACTGAATGGACTTGCTTTTATTAGAGGCTAGCTTTCAGAGAAATTTCATTCTAGAACTTGGATGTTCACATCTAATTTAATATTCTTTTTAATAAAGACTGAACCAGTGTGGGAATCAGAGCTAACAAACGTGATTCTGCATAAGATCTCTTCCTGATAGCAGAGTCATCTCATGTAGAGCACACTGGAACTCTTTTCTCTAAAACAAGGAGAAATATATGTTTCACTTTGTTCCTACTATCTCTTATACCTTCTATTAGAGGATTCTTCCTCACTGAACCCCATATTAAATACTGAAAACTGTA